AACAGATTACAGGGATCATGGGATCATATGTATTCTAACAGATCTCGTAGTATCTTTAGGATATCTTCCCGGTGTCTTGCGGGAGACGTCGAGCAGCGTCGTGCCCCGCAGGCTTCATCTTGTGGGCTAGGTCGCCCCTGGAGGCGCAACCCATGTGGTCTGCTGTGGGTATCTAGGGTCGTACACCCCACAACCATCGACGATGAAGTCTTTGTCAACGCCTAGAACATCGAACAGCTATGTCGTTTTTACCCTTAATCTACGCACACTTTCTCTTATCGGTTTCGCTATCGACTCCTCTATCTTTAGTGACACCCGACCCCAGCAACGGCAAGGGGTCGGGCCTCACTCAAGGACTAATAAGAGCATATCTATCCGGTAGACATTCTCTATGCCCAACCCTTTCTCACGTTAAGATCTAGAAGCAAGGGTTGCAGAAACAAACGTTGAGTAAAACTGGTCAGACTGCAAGAAACCTACGCCCCAGCGGCTATGGCGTTTTTGCTCACCAGTGTGATCAGAGTTTTTTGCCTGCACCCTAAGCTTTTTAGCCTTAACGATGGAATGGGTCGGAACACATTAACCTTTTTATACAAAATGGGGAGAAGAGCTAAAAATCTATTTGGCCATAACAAAATTTAAGAGCTTGTTCACTTATTACAAGTTCGCCGCCTGGCTAATCTACCTAACAAATTTCTTGGGGGATGATCTCATCCTCTATCTTGGTAGGTAAGTCCTATGCCAGAGGGGCCACCTCCTTCTTGATATCGTCCGGCTCAATGTCGGTGTAGACAGGCACGAGAACCATCATAGGTAAGGAGGGATACTGAGCTAAAAATGCTCATACGGCCTATTCAGGCCTAGGAGTTTAAAGGCTGGCCCTCCGATGGGTTCATAGCCGCTCCATGGCACCCTTAGAGTGAGGGGTGGAAAGGGCCCACTAGCGGCTAGTACCTAGGCGCATGAGTGCCATGGGCATCCTGGCCCACGTTCGAGTCTTGGTCGGTTCCCAATCCATGGTTCTTCCTCAAAGAAAGGCAACGAGCCCTTGGGACCGATCGAACGGACACAAGAACTATATGGATTGGCCACTAAGAATCTAGAGTCGGTCACCAACTGACCCATGCTAGACCCCCACAAACAGGAAGCCGAGGCCCCACTCAGACTAGCCCGTTAACAGCTCACCGAGCACCATTTTTCATCCATCGAGGAAAAACATGGCACAGCTCAGCCCCTCCGTTTTATCGAAAAAACACTTGAGGGATGACGATCATAAAGATGAGTCAACCCTCGACCGAACCCCTACTACGCGTGGGGGTTCGAGGGAAGTTGGACTCGTAAGGAGACTGAACGCGCTATCATAGGACGACGGCAGACCGATCGAATCCTAGGGGACCGGAATCAAGAAAAATCTTTCCGACCTCCCAAATCCTACGGTTACATGCCTCCAAGAAGACCGATCGTGACAAAAGAGAATTGTCATCCTACCAGGACATGTCATGGGCTACAAAAACAAGGCCAAGGCCCTTAGAGCCTCCTGTCTAGAAAAGCCTCCAAAGGAGTATTCTACTCCTTCGCAGGCTCGGGGGCTACTGTCGAGTATTGATATTAGGGATACCCAAAGCAAGGAAGTTTGTGCCCACGCTGACTTCCCCGGATGACTCGAGATGTATTAAAAGGTCTCGCCCAACCCCAAGACCGCAGGCTCTGTCTCGCTTGACCCTTTCGGTGCAGGCTCCGTCTCGCCCGACCCCAAGGACATGGGTTCTGTCTCACCCAAGGCCGCAGGCTCTGTCCTGCCCGACCTCAAGGCCACGGGCTCCGTCTTGCCCGACCTTGAGGCCACGAGCTTCGTGTCACCCGACCCCTTGGGTGTGGGCTCCATCTCACCCGACCCCAAGGATGTGGTTTCCATCTCGCCCAAGGTCACGGGCTCTGTCTCGCCCGATCTCGAAGACATGGGTTCCGTCTCGTCCGACGGGGACCCATACCACCGCCAACCACTCCAGGTCCAAGCGTATGTGACTGGGTTAAAACTCTAATGCCAGGGAAGAGGCTGGCATGCCTCGATGTAACCCGTGGCCATGAGGGGCCATACCGGGGGATTCACATCAAGAACAGTGTCGGGCATGCCGGTGCTGTTCTGCCTAATCCTCGTACGGACGCTAACAGGCGTGTCAGTTCACCACGACGCCCGCCGGGACGGAGTGAAACGCCATGACCGGCAGATGACGCCTATGCATGGCGCTAGTGACGAACATGGCCACAACATGGAGCCGTCCCTATTGACATCAACAGGATCGGCGGGACCCGCATGAAGGAGAAGAAGGACCCAGCAACCCTGGAAGCCTTCTTCTCTCTCTCGTTCTTCTCCTTTTCCTCCTCTGTAACCCACGCTTTCCCTTGGCCTTTAAAAGGGGAAGCAGGGCGCTCCATGAAAGGGGAAGGGGACGGAGACATCTAAACACAAGAGCACGACACGAGCACACGGCTGAGCGGCAAGCGAGCTCTCAGCACCCATTCACTCCTTCCACCAGAGGCTTGGGATCCTCTCCATCTCTTGCCTGTTTGTAACCCCTACTACAAACCAAGTGCTGGTAATACGAGCAGCAGTAAACTGGATGTAGGGATGTTTTGCCCGAACTAGTATAAACCCTTGTGTCCTCCGAGCACACCATCTGAGCCAGACGCGCAAATACAAATTTACTCATCGGTGGTCTGAAAACACCGATAATTCTATAGTTGGGTGTGCCGAGAACGAGAGATGGCGCCTCGATGAGTTGAAGTTGGAGATGGGCCCGGCAGGCATAGGGATGGAGAGTGGTAGACACGGATGACAACACATCCTATCCCTCTACATAGACAGCATCATGGTTTGTTCTGATCCCTTTGCTGCAGAAATCCTCCCTTCAATGATGATGGCTCATTAACACTCTACAAAAAAATGATATGTATGTCTATATATGCTGCAATGCAAATGAAATCACTTTGCAGGTTATTCCACCCGTGGAGCGGAGCTTCGAGCAGGAAGTAGCACGGCTTCTAGGGACCCTCACCCACTTCTCAGCCTTGGAGCTACATCTCCGAACAGACAGGCATGTTTTTGGAGCGCTTGTGCTACAACTGCTTCGAATGATAACCACCATACAAAGGCTTAAAGTCATCTTGCTCGGAGTGGTAATGAGTCGTTCACCTTTCTCATGCATTGTTTCTATTCACTCCACCACCCTGTTCGGCTGATACAGTTTCAGCTGATTTCGGTTGATTTCGGTTGATTCAATAGTATTCTGTGAGAAAGAATAAGCTGAAACAAGCTGAAACTGGATCAGCCAAACGTGCTGGTGCACATTTCTTAGATCCTCAAATGTATACAAAGCATCATTAATGTAACATATATACTTAATTTCATGCTTTAATTTCCAGGACGCAGAATGTTGGGAGAATTGTGACTGTGATGTTGCTAGCAACTGGAGAAATGAACTAATCTCCCTGCCTCATTTGGAGATGGCGGAATTTGAAGGCTTCCGTGGACATGATCACGAGATGGATTTCCTTAAACTTCTATTTGGATCTGCGCCAAGGCTAAAGATAATGATCGTTCAACATTTCAATGAGATTTCAATAGTTAGTGGAGCGTGCCAGAAACTCCACAACATGTTTTCAGCAAATGCTTCTGTGAAATTCTCCTTTTCATGAAGGACCCACTACTACAAAAAAATGTTTGTAGCAACGGAATAATTTTTTTTGTAGGGGCGGCTAGTGATGGAGCCACCCCTACAGTGGGCGTGCTTGGGACCCATGAGACCAGCCACCCCTACAAATGGTATAGTAGGGGTGGATGGTAATACGAGCTGCCCCTACAAATGCGTCGATTTGTAGGGGCGGCTGGTATACCAGTCGTCCCTGCTGTGTCTACTTGTAGGGGCGGCTAAATCATCAGCCGCCCCTAAAAATGCCCGCAACGGAAAACTTACGAGCAGCTAACCTGGGCCTAGGCCACGCTGGCCTTTCTGCCCACCCGAGAGGCGCTACAGTGTACTTGCACGCATATAAAACAGAGGGTGCACACTAGCTAGGGTTTGGCACCCGCACTTGCCGCCCCCGGCCTCCTTCCACACGCGCTCTCTCTCCCTCTGACACCAGCGCCGCCGGCCTCCATGCTCCTCTATTCATGAGCTGCAGCGGCGTAGATCAAGGGAGCTACGTCGGATAGCCAGGCCTAGGAGGCGGTGGCCGCACGGACTAGGTAGGCCACGGGTGGTGGCGGCGTCTGCACTGATCCGGGAGACTAGGCCACGTGGATCTGGCCAGAGACCGCGGGCGACGGTGGTGGCTGTGTGGACTCCGGCCACGAGTCGGCGGCGGTGGCCGCGGGTGGCGGCGAACGCGTGGCTCAGGACACGAGACTGCGGTGGAACCTCGCAGGAAGCCATAGGTGGCGGCGGCCACGCGGGCTTGGATCCGGAGATGGTATCGCAACCCTAACCGCCAAGCTCACCGCCGGCGCTGCTGCTATTGGTCAGCAGTACAAGAGGACGTCTCTGCATCGCCCCTAGAGATCCTGCCATCGAGGGCTCACCCTGACTGGACGTGGAGAGGTATGCGTTTGTTCATGCATCTTGATTGGTTAATCTACTAATTGGAGATTTGAGATGGCTAGGTGAGGAATCTGAACGCTCCGTGCAGAGTATGCTGTTTCCACTATCATTTTTGTTAACTGCAATTGTTGTATTTGACATAAGTAACTTAGATTGGAAGATCATCAGTAGCATGTGTTTATCCGTATAGAGGGATGCATTTTCCACTATCATTTTTCTAACTGTTATTGCTCTATTTGACATAAGTAACTTAGATTGGAAGATCATCAGTAGCATCTAGCATATGTATATATATCCACGTTGGTGCTTTTGCATGCAAGTATTGAGGGGGATGTAAAAAGTCTCCTGGATGGTAAAACTTCCACAGAGCTTGAAGATATGCAAAGTCAAATTGAGTCCCAAATGCACTCTGGAACTGCAAAAGTTGTTGAATACTGGGAAGCTATCCTGAAATGTCTTCATATTTACAAAGCAAAGGTATGCCAGTGGGTCTACAAATGTCAATCTATTCATACCGTTATACAAAGTAATCCTTTATAATCTAGAGCTGCGCTATTGCATTGAACTTCTGAATTTTGATTTTGTAGTTTATACTTACGAAAAATGCTTGTTTGCATCGTAGGCTTGCCTGAGGGAGATCCATGCTTCTATCCTAAGGAAGCAGTTACATCGACCTGGAGCATCCTGGTGCTGTTGAACAGGATGTGGAATCTGAGAAAGAAGATGATAATAAACTGGAGGATGAGATGCATGAGGACGAAGGTTTACCTTCTTTTCTGATTACTCAATCAACTATGTTTCCAAGATAATGAAGTGATTTCTGATGTATGTTCTATTGGTAGATGATAAGCGATATTCGCCTGAGCCTATACCTCAGCACACCAATTTGAAGAGTAAGATGGATCCTTCTCTCCACAGCTAATGCATGGCAATGAAGATGAAGATGCAATTGATCCTGAAGAGGACAAAGATGAGCTGGTAGAGTCCTGTGTTTCTATTTCTAATAGTATTAATAGAAATATGATTGGAACTATACTAGTTATTTGCTGCAGTGTAGTTAACTGAGTAGTTTAATTGTCAGGTACAGATTGTTAGTAACTGGACTCCATATTATGCAACAAAAGAGGCTAACTAACAATATTAGGACGAAAAGTTCTACTGATATTTTTTTCGTTAAGAAGACAACCTTTCAAGCTTCTGCAGGCCTTCCTGCATGTCTTACCCTAAGAGGGGGGCATTGATTCATTTAGATCTTACTTTTTATGGCAGTGCTCCTTATGGTGACTTAAATTTGAGGGCTTTCTAGAGTTCATATACAAACACAATGGGTGAAGATTTTTCTTAAGAACATCAAGTTATTAGGGTTTATTTTATGAGTTGATTAGATAATTAGAATGATGTTGGCAACTCATACTTAATGCTTTTAATCATCTCCAGGACCGAAAACGTGAAGCTGTAGTTTTGGAGCATCAAAGGAAAGTTCAGGAAGCCATGAAAGCAAAGGCAAGAGTACCTGATGAGATGGAGATGAAGGCCATAAAAACGATGTGAGCTATGGAGGAAGGAGATGCTGTATTTGGTGCCGGTGCTGAAGTGAACCTTGATTCACTGGTTTGGATGATTTTCCTTTGATCCCATTGCGTTTTTAGCATGGTAACATGATGATAGTTGTATATCTATATTTTCCAATATTCTGCCTTGATACTGGATTAGCGAGAGAGTTCTCAGAATTCAACTGGGATATGGCGTGACTGTGACAATTTTTTTAGTGTTGATCCAGAAGGACCGATGGTTATCTTGCTATAATCTGGACCATAGATAACACACCTTAAGCTACACCAAAATTTTCAAATAATCTATTGACTCATGTAATTGTAGTTGAGTATATTTTGATAGTTTAATATAGGGGTAATGTCATATTTGAGTTCGATACCATGGGTGGTAACAAGTTTTACACACAAGAAGCGTGATTTAGCATCTTTGGTGCATCCTACCGCATATGAACTCAGCTGGTTTCTGATGGCATATGCTTGTTCAATATGCTCGCAGGTGTACTGGTGGCACAACAAGTATCGACCAAGAAAGCCCAAGTACTTCAATCGGGTGCACACTGGATATGAATGGAATAAATACATCTAGACTCATTATAACCATGATAACCCACCGCCTAAAATTGTTCAAGGCTATAAGTTCAATATATTTTACCCTGATCTTGTGGATAAATCAAAAGCACCAATGTACAGTATAGAGAAAGATGGAAGATCATCAGATTTGAATTATATATATATACATATATATATCCTACAACTAAAAAGAACAAAACGTGGATATTTTTTTGGTGCGACATTCTTCCATCGTCCTGCCTGCCTGCCGCCCGTGCGATCTTTCTCCGCACCCCCTAAGCTCGTCTCCCTTCCAAAAAAAATATCGCTCGCCGCCGCGCCCCCATCGCGCCAACCCTGCGCCTGTGCCCGACCGCAGCAGGTCGCGCCGCCGTCGCCAGCGCCCGCGCTCGCCACAGGTGCAACACCAAAGCTGCCGCGCCACTGGCCCTGCTCCCCGCGACCATGGTGGCGGCACCCTTCCCCATCCCCTCCCAACGGCGGCCGCTACGCCCTTCCCCATCTCGACGGCTGACAGGTCCTTGTGTGGTTTTGGTAATTGAGTAACAACCTAGGTGGACTAATTGTGTTTATGCGACATACACAGGTGATTAGTCCACATGTACATATGTGTGAGCAACATATGCCATGAAGGTGAAAATGGCTTGGAGATGTTGCAAAGCTCACACATATGATGATGAAGGAGCTTATTGCACATGAGACATGACATTGAGTCATGTGATCAAGATGGAGAAGATCAAGACAAGACTTGGCTTGATGGACCGGTTGCAAGCGTGAAGGGCAAGTCGAAGGCTTTGGAGCGATGGACCGCGTGGCGGTGAAGCTTGAGCAAGACTTGGCGCCGATGGACGAAGGCAACGGTGAAAATCAAGTGAAGTCAAGATCGATGAATCAATATGATCACATGATGATATGAAGTGGATCATATCATTGTTGATCATGTTGGCGCATATGTTGCATTGACATTGGAGGAGATGGAATGGAATGCGCAAAGCAAAGGTATAACCTAGGGCATTTCATTTCACCGGTCATAGGTGTGTAGAGAAGTTGATGACCGGGTTTAGGATAGATGGCCGTACTATCAAGAGGGGCAAACTTGTTTGCATATCGGTCATCTAGTGCCACTCGAGTGATCTAACTTTGCATCATCGCTAGGATCGAGTGGCGTGGCAAGTTGAGTGGCTAATCCTTTGGAAAATGTTTGTGAAAAGCTAACACACATACACATGGTGGTGCACACTTGGTGGTGTTGGCACATTTGCAAAGGAGAAGAAGTTAGAGTTGTCGTGAATCAACTTAGAGAAGAGAAAAAGGTTTTTCGGTGTACTCTGAACTATAGGATGGTCCTTGGATTGGAATACTGTTTTGATCCATTGTGATTTGGATCAAGTATGCATGTGGGATGTGTAGCCCTCTGAATAAGCTTTCCAAAATATCTAAGATCATCGAAATCAGAGTTCGGAGCTAAGAGTTATAGCCGTTTTAGCGCTGAAAGGTCTGTCACCGGACGCTGGCGCGAAAAACGACCGGACGCTGGGGTCCATCATCCGGTCAGAACCTGCGAGTCCGGCCACAGAGTCCGGTTAGTGTTTATAGCGTGTCCAGAAGCGACCGAACGCTGGGAGAGTCCGGTCACTGAAAAACGTCGCTGGAACCTCTCTGTAAGTGACCGGACGCTGGCTTTCAGCATTCGGTCGTTATGACCTGCGCGTCCGGTCAGTACGCGCTTTGCCCAGTGAAGGGGTAACGGCTATTTTAGCCCTTGGGGCTATAAAAGGAGTGTGTGGCCAGCCTTGGGCTGGTTGCTGAGCACCCTCACGCCTATGTGGCTTGTGTAGGAGTGCTTGGATGCCCTCTAACTCACTTGTGCTTGCAAGAGTGCGAATCGATTGCGAGTGAGTGTGATTCTAGTGTGTTGCATTGTGAGATTGCATCGAGTGGCACTAGGTGATTGAGTTGCAAGCCGGTGGTTCTTGTTACTCTTGGAGGTTGCCACCTCCTAGACGGCTTGGTGGTGGTCTCCGCCGAAGCCCGTAAGAAGCTTGTGCGGTGCTCCGGAGAAGAGCTTTGTTAGGGGCATTGTGCTCGCCCCGCAGGAGCTGTGAAGAGCAACTCTAGTTGAGCGTGTCATTGAGCTACCCTCACTTTTGGGGTAGGTTCTTGCGGTGCTCGACGTGCGGGCTTGGCGGGTGATGCCAATTAGCCGCCGAACCACCAAGTGAGCGGTCGACACAACGGGGACGTAGCGTGTTGGCAAGCACTTGAGCCTCAGGAGAAAATCACCGTGTCAACCTTGTTCTTCTCGTTGGTTTGCAATCCCCTTACACAAGCTTGTGATTACTTTTATATACCTTGTGCTTGTGTAGTTGCTCTTGTAATTAGTTAGCTTGTGTAGCTCACTAGTTACCTTCTTGCTTGTGTAGCATAGAAGTAGCTCCCTTGCGTGGCTAATTAGGTTTGTGTAACCTTGATTAGTCACTTTGCTTAGTTTGTGTAGCTAAGTATTTGCGCTCTCTAATTTGGCATTGGTTGCCTTATTATTGAGCATTGCTAGTGAGCTTAGTTGGCTTTGTGTTTTTGCTTACTAGCATGTGTAGGAGCTCCCTCATTGCTTGAAATACTAGTGGCATAGGTTTGTGTGACCTTGCTCCTAGAATTGGTTAGGTGAGCTCTAGTTATCCTGACACCTTTGTTGCTTAATTAGGATCTTTGCAAGGTGCTAGAGAACATAGATAGAGGGGTGTAGTCTTGGCTAGACCGATAGTTTTAATTCCTCACTTGTTTCGGTTAGCCGACGCGATTAAGTTTTAGAAATGACTATTCACCCCCCTCTAGTCGCCATCTCGACCCTACAAGTGGTATCAAAGCTAGGTCTCTCATTTGTGGTCTTCACCGACCCGAGAGGATGGTGGCTTATGGGCTAGATGTTGATTGTCCATACATTTTTGATGGCACACACTTTACACGATGGAAAAATTGGATGATATGCAATTTTAAGTTTATTTGCCCTCAAATGTGGTGGATGGTAGATGTAGGCTTTTCTCATGTGTTGGATGAAGATAATCTAACTCAAGCACATGAGAAATGCCTAGATCTTGACATCCAAGCTACTAACATCATGTATAGATCCTTGCATGATAATATCTTTGGAGAGATCATTGACATGAAGACCGCCCATGAGATTTGGAGTTATCTCAAAGAGAAGTATGGAATGGTCTCCGATGATGATGAGCCCAAGAAGGAGGCGCATGAGTGTGTTGAGCATGATCACAATGTGGTGATTGAGAAAGATTGCTCCACCTCATGGTCAAGTGATGATGATAATGATCATATCACAAGATCACTTGACAAGATTGATGATGATGCCACAAGTGATGCCAATGATGATGCTACTCCATGCACACTTGATGGTGACAATGATGGATCATGCTCGGGGTATGAGAGTGATATTTCTTCAAGCTCTCCAACTACATCACATTGCTTCATGTCACAAGATGACACTAAGGTATCTAATGCAAATGTGATTGATCTTGATTCATATGAGGAGCTTCTAGATAGATATGGTTGCATGATCAAAGCTTTAGAAAAAGAGATGGCTAAAACCGAGAAATTGAAAAATAAAAACTCTTTTCTAAAGAACACATGTGAACAACAAAAGCATCTGCTTTATGTTACTACTTGTTCACATGAGGAGCTAAAATTGGCTCATGAGAAACTTAGTGTTGCTCATGATAACTTAGTACAAGACCATGCTTTTCTCACTATGGAGATTTCTAATGGAAAAACTAAAACTAGTGAGAGCTCATCACATGGGTCAATTGATCAATCACATATCATTCCTAACCCTTGTGATGTAGGCAAGAAGCATGTATCCACCTCTTGTGATGATTTATTAGCTATGCCATGTTCCTCGCATATAGATGCTTGTTCTACTTTTATGTCTTGTGAGACTAACCTTTTGAAGGAGAACAATGAGCTCAAAAATAAAGTGAAGAATTTGAGCAATAAGTTAGAGAGGTGCTACAACTCAAAAGTCACCTTTGAGCACATGTTGAAGACTCAAAGAAACTATGGTGACAAATGTGGCCTTGGCTACAAGAAGAAGATGACAAAGGGCGAAAGAAAGAGAGAAAGAAAGATGAAGAAGCTACAACAAAGAAAACTCTCTCACGCCATGTGCTCTGGTGTCATGAAGCGGGACACCTTGCAAATGGTTGCCCTAACATTGAGAAGCTCAAGAAGATAAAAGAAGAAGAAAGGCTCAAGCATGTGAAGTGCTTCAAGTGCCACACTTGGGGTCATCTTACCTCAATGTGCCCAACCAAGCAATTGGTGAAGCAACTAGAAGAGCCTCAACCAAAGCCACAAGTTGAGCAAGAGAAGACACCCCAAGAGCAAGTCAAGATCAACCATGAAGATGGTAGTGAT